CTATTTTAATACCAGAAGAAACTAGGTTGGTGGAAGCCAGATATTAGGTCTTTTCTGTACAGCATCTGATTTGCACACCTTACCATTGACAGGTCAGGTCCAATGTCATAAATGTTTTTAATTATAAATTGGTACTAAATATTTCAATGGGTAGATCTTGATGGTTTTTTCCTTCTATTTTTAAACTTTGCTGAACCTATCATTATATAGCTTTTTGTGTACATAAAATAATAGATATCTGCAGAAATACATTCATTGCTACTTAAAATGCTTATAATGTAATGTAAAAAGCCATTTTCCATCTTGTTCTCCTTCATTTGTATTAGCTTAGAGTTTATGTGTTCTTCAGTAGAACTGATAGGAATTGAGAAAAGTTTTAGCTTCTATTTTAAATATAACTTAGTTGAACTTCCTGAAACGAATACTATATTATTTAACTGCCAGAAAGTATTTAAATGTAATAAACATAACATATACTTTATGATATTTATATTGCAATTATAATATTTGTTATACAAATATTAAATGTAATATTTAATATAATGTAGATAAAGCAGAGCCAGAATTTCTTTTTTGTGTTTATTTATAGTTTAAAATTATTTTATTAAAAATGTAATTACAACAATAAAAATAATGCAAATTTAAAAAATAAAATAAAGTTGAAAATGCAGGGAAAAAGAAAAAATAGAAAAAAAATAAAAAATAATATTAAAAAAATAAAATATATAAAAAGAACTTACTTCCCTCTTCATCACTGTAAGTATGAATACTTTTAATAACCTTTTCTTAAAATACAAGAAAGGATTGCTTCTTCCCATATCCTGTCTCTTATCTATAAACAAATCCTCAACACCTAGCATTTCAGTCCTGATCACCAAAAGCCCATTAAGGCTTATTAGATTTAACCATATCTATTTTAACCTTGTCCAAATAAATCAATTTTATATTCCTTCCTTTTACTTTTAATAATTTTCATTTTAGCCCCTTTAAATAATGTCCTAGAACCTATTTCTTACTTACTGTCTTATTGTTGTTATTTGAGTGTCTCTTTTAATTAGTAAGACATCAGTTGGTTTCTTTTGTATATAGTACAAAAGTGTAATGACATCTTTTTAAATATCATTCTTTGAGCTTGTCATTTTAAAATCCATTTTTAGATTAGTCTCAGTCTTGTCTGGTAAAACTTGTTCTTCTTCCATAACACAGGCTATCTAGAGAGGCAGATATTCTTAAAATTCATTCCTGGGTCCATTATTTTTTTTAAAAAAACCCCTTCAATACGTTATGTCTTGTGTTAAAATATTTTGATCCATTCTGTATTAGTAAATTAAATTTAAACGTTCTTCTTTAATTGTAATTTAATTCCTTCCAGGTGTCTCTAGTGTTCAATCTTCAAAGTCGCATTCTAACATGTTTTCTTCTAAAAGAATTAAAAACAAAAAGTTTTCACTAAGGATTGAAGGAAATTCACTGGTGTTTTTAGACTTGTCAATCCAAAAGTCCATAATAGTTGAAAAACAATTAACATGCCATTTCCAAACATATGCAACCTTAGTGTCCTTTCAAAGGCATGCCAACTGTGATTTGAGCAGGACTAATCCCTCATCTCCCAGAGTTCTAAATCCACTATTGTCTTGTAGTCTCCTCATAATGAGCAGTTGTTTAGAGCAGAGCTTTTCAACCTTTTCAGAGATTGTACCACTTTTAGGATATGGCAATATGAGAATACCACCAGTTGCCTAGGAGATGGGCGTGGCCTGCTCAACGCCAGTCACTGGACACAGCTGGGTCGGAATGGAACAAATTGCACTGGCTAACCCGATGTGGGGACAACTCGATGCCCAACAAACTCCTCGCTTCCCCAATCTGCTAGCAGTCAAGCACATGTGCGCGTACACACACACACACACACACACACACACCGCATTCCAGGTTTGGGGACTTTTATCCACAGAGGAAGGAGAGGGCCTTGTCAATTTGCTAGTTCAGATGTGGATACAAGTCTCCAAGCTTGGAATGTTTGTGTGTGTATGGATAGCACACTAAAGAGATGTTCCTTTCCCAATCTCAGACATCGTTGGTTTTTCCCTGTCCAGTGCCCCCTCTCGGCAAAGCAGGAGGTGGAAGCTGTTTGCAGGAAGTAGTTAACTCCGAGTCCAACTTTTATGTTGACAGATCTCTGGAGAGCAAGAGGAGGCAGCAGGAGAGCAGCGCTCCCAGGTCCTGCACAAGGGAGGCTGGCCCTTCTCAAAAGGGAATTCCCATTTCCAATCATGCGTGGTAAGGATGCTGGCTTGTTGAGGCAGCCTTCCCTCACACAGCTCCCCTGCCACCATCACCTCCTCTCCAGAGATCTGCAGGGGAGACAGAGATCTGGAGGGCAAGGTGCAGCCTCCATATTGGCCACTTCTACCTTTCCAAGCCCTCCTCGATTAAACATACATTATATATAAATTAAAACACAGCCAAAAAGAAAACATAGTTAAATCATTAATTACAGCTCTTCACATATTTTCTGGAAAAAACCACCTTTATTGATGTTAGGAAGGAAGAGCAAATCTCATTAAGGAACTCTTAACAGGAAGGGAATTGAAGACCCCAAAAGGTCTTGTTCTTTCTAATCTGCCTTCCCTTTGAGTCTTTAGTTCTCATTATTTTATTATTATGTATTTAAGAAGATCAAAGACCTCCATAGCTCAGGATACTCACCTTAAAATCAGAAACCAGAAAAAATTAGTTAATCCACAATACCGCCCTATGAAGAATGAATATAATCTTTGGGCCCTGAGAGCATGCAGGTGTCCAGTCAGAATATTAGTGGCATACCTGTCAGCAACTGGAAGTGCATAAGTCCATGTACTTCCCTTCCCTGTCTCACAACCCAATCCATACATCCTTTAATTTTCAGACACATCTTTTTCTCATAAGCTCCTTTAAAAACCCACAAGGTATACTGTAATTAGCAGGAAAAATAAATCTAGCATTCCTTAATTCTTTCCCCAAGGGTTGCTAGCAAAGTCATCAAACAACGTAGTTATTGCTGCTAACGGCAAGAATAAATAACAAATCAATTTTGCAGCTCTCTCCTGTTACTACATCCTCTTACTTCCAGAATGTGGTCTGGGATTGCTCAAGGGCCTAGTCTAAAATCTGGTTGAGTAGTTTGCAGCCAGGTGTTCAGTACAGACCTTGCCAATGTGATTTTAATAGCTCAGGAAGGGCTAGGAAAACCCAAGGAAAACTGCAATCAATAAACCATGGTGGACTAAGCTTGTTTTGCCCTATTTTGATTCTCCACCCTAGCAGCAGCCCATCGATTTTAGAACTGCATGGCCACAAAGGTAGTGGCCTTTCCAATCCCTGCTTAGAGAGGGATTTGCATTTCGGTGAGAGTCAGGCCATATGTCCCCAAACAAAGGAAAAATCCGAATCCAGCGGGCCAGAAGGCAGCCCAGCCACCATGCCCCTCTGGTTCCTTCTTCACGGCCCGATGGCACAGACACAGTCACTGCTCCTCGCCATAGCTGGGGCTGGATTTGCAAGTACCTCCATCCTCTTCCTCCTGCAAAGCGGCGCTCCCGCCCGCCGCCATGCCAGCAGCCCTGACTAAAGGCTACGCGCTCCAGTCTCGTCCTGCCAAGGAAGGGGGTGGCAGCCGAGACTACAGCAGATCTGCAGCTTGTCAGCGGTGCTCAAAGTCTGCCCAACTTTACTCTGGAATTTTGGGGTTGGAAAGTGGAGGGGCAGCACCGCGTTTGCATGCCTGGCAGCACCTGCTAGAAAGCTTCCTGCTTCTCCCCCCCTCCCCCCCACAGCTACCTCCTTCAGAGACTTCCTGATGCCGACAGGCCTGCCGACATAGGTCCTCCCACTTTGTCCTGCAAAGTGCGGCTCACCCGGCGCTCTTGCCTACCGCCATGCCAGCAGGCCCATTCTGCCATAGTCATTGGTTTCATTTTTGTGAACTGTCTTCAATTTGCCATTTATTCCCATGAAGTCCAGAACCAAAACTTCAAAGGAAATCAGAGAATCCCTTCTTTAATTATTCAAAAATTATCACTTCTAGCTTATGTAAGGCCCATCCAAATAAAAATAAATAATAGCATATAAAAATAGGCATCACCTACTCCCCACACAAAAGCATAAGTTAAATTATTAAGCACCGTTAAGTTAAATTTTATTATTTAATGTCTACATATCAGGCCACCTTGATTCCCATGTCTTGACTTGTTGGCATTTAATTAAACCTCTTCTCTCTATAACTATAGAACAGGGTAAGAATGGATATAGAAATCCAAATGCTGCCTGTGAGGCTACATCTTGAATTGACTTATCAACTCAAAGTCAAAACATTTCTTTTTACCACTGGTGTCTCTCGTGCACATTTTGATGCATTCAGCCAAACGATTGATATACATTCTTTATATTGTTGGAATTTGATTTTTATTTATTTTATTTATATACTTATCAAATTCTATACACTTGCTTGACTAGGCAATTATGGTAAAAGTATTATTTAATGAATAAACTATATTTAGAAATGGGGTATTTTGTGTTATCAAAAGAACAAAGCTGAAAATATTTTTGAAAGGTGTGATGTATTGGTTTCTCTAAATGGTTTCATATGCTAGATCAGCGTTTCCCAACCTTTCCTGCTCAGTGGGGGTGGCAGGGGGGATGGTTTTGTGTGCGTGCTTTCACAAATGCAGCTTCACATGCACGCATGCTCATCCAACACTTCTGCGCCTTGTTTCTAAACGGGCTGCGACCCAGCACTAGGCCACAGACGGGGTTGAGGACCCTTGTGCTAGATAATGCAATATGCCTATAGTTAAAGTGCATATATGGTAGTTATTTGGTTTTCATTGTGCATTATAAACAATTCAACAAAAACTTTATTATGCACAAAAACAGCACAGAACAATAGACTCTAAAAGGGTATAGAAGTATCAAATTACAATATGAAAGAAAAGAAATTATATCTTCTTTTTGCACTATAGATTTGCCGCAAGTTAAATGGTGTACGGTTCACGTGCTGTAAAAGTGCCAAAGATAGGACATCAATGTCAGTGACACTGGAACAATGTTCAATTTTAAGAGATGAGCATCAATTGCACAAAGATTTCTTTATTCGAGCATTGGACTGTATGAGGAGGTATGTTCTTAATCCTTCACTGTTTGTTATCTATCTACCATATTTTCAAGTTTGTAGATGTGTTTTAATCTACGTTTCCCTGACTAACTCAGGGTACAGTTTGAAAAATGTGACATTTTCATTACTTTCCCAAGCCAGGACCATATTTCAGTCTTTCATAGATAGTTTTTTCTGAAATATATTGAATTCTCACAAAGATAGTTCCGAATACTGCTAAATATATGTTATGTTTTAACCATACTTTATTTCCCTTGGTACTTTGATGAGTTTCTTCAATTAAAGACAAATAAAATACAGCAACCAAACTTAATTAAGCTGGCACTTGGTTTTTTAAAATTAAATTACTTTGCACTTACTTGTAATTATACAATGAATCTGATTAAATTAATCAAGATATTTAATTAGGAGAAGTAGTTTGATTTGCTTATTGGCAATAAATTTAAATGAAACAAAATAATAGCTTGTAAAGGTCAGATTTATTATTTTCAAAGGAACTTGCATTAAGTACACTTGGTAATTTGGACAAGTGCTGAAAAACACATTTTTTAGATTAAGAAATAAACATTGTTTGCACTTGATAACTAACTTTTTTATACTGAATTTTAGATATTTTCTTTCGTGAATAACTATTTGGTGAGAATTAACTGATCAGGCTTTGAAATCCAGTAGAAAATTGAAAAGTCTAGTCATTTATCAATATTCCTTGTTATGCAAAGAAAACATAACAGTTCCTGTTTATAAATTATTTGAACTACATGCAGATAACTTGACTAAAAGAAATTAGGTATTCAAAGAATGTCCTTCTACTAAGTGGATGAATTACACTTTTGGAAAAGCTGCTAATGACTATAATAATAAATCAGTGGGACCATAGAACAATTCAATTCCTTAGCTCTTTTGTAAATTGCTAATATTGCATGATACTGTTTATGCTATTTCATATATTCCATTATTGTCCATATATCCTGTCCCTGTTTAGCTTTTCATTCATGATTGGCAATGCATGTACTAGCTTTCATGTTGAATGTGCTTATATTGATTATTGGTGTATTTTATCTATTTAGTTATAAGCTCTATTCATTTACAGCTATTATGCTTTTCAGAATCAGATACATTAGGTATTCTGTCGTGTCGATGACACCGACTTATTTTCGTAATATACCGACGGGTAGAGTGTTATACTAATATTGTTAATTAATTTTGTTATTTATATATTTTGGTAGTAGTAATTTTTATATTTTATAGTTTTTGGTGTTCCGTGTTCTCTCTCACCTACAATTGACGATATTACCTCGGTAGGATCTCAAAGTTGTTTCTCTCCCTTGTCAGTCAGACTTAACTACATGTTTTTCAGGAATTACTCCTAATGGTATACACATAACACCAGAATGATAAATATAAGTACCACCATTAACAAATAATGGTAAAAACAATCAAAAAACTGTAATATTTTTTTAAAAAAATAATCTGCCGTCTATTGTAATCTCATATTAATTTGTATTAGTTTGCATTAGTTTTTAGCATTCTTACTATTAAAACACTAAAGTACTACTAAAGTATTACTAATACTACTAATACTAAAGTAGACTACTTTAAATAACCAATTAAACCATCCAGGGTTACAATAAATGAAGCTCTGAATAATGATTTGTCAGTAAGATCAAATTAAGCCAGTTGTCTTTACTTTCCATAGAAAAAGTGCTCCCATTTGTTTACTCTTCCACAGAATATAGATATGAGGAACAGTTTTTTAGTATTGGTGAAAACTGCCCTGAAAGTGTTTTCACTGTTTGTGAAAATGATATCAGCATATCTGCCCAGAGTTCATGCAATTAAGTAAAGTTATAATTCTTCTGGATTTACTGCAAATTTTTAGGTGGAGCTAAGAAGAAAGTTTTGTCTATATTCTTGAAGGGCTTCTACATTTTTAACCAGTTTTCACTTAATCTGTGGCATTTAAATCTTCTATAAGTATTTTCTAAAATAAGTGCTACTGGCAAAATGTATGTTTCTTCATTTATGTGATTGTTTGATAAAACATTCCTTTAAAAACTGATATATTCGAGAAATGCAGGAACTTGTTTTGAGTTTTAAAAAAAGTCCTTTGGACTGTGCAGTAGGAAAAACTTATCATTCCCTGAAACACTTGAAAGCACTTTTATGGAATTAAAGCCAAAGCAATGCACCACTTCTTACTTTTGCAATTTGAAATGGTATCAAGTAGTGATGATTATATTGACTAGTCCAGGGGTAGGCAACCTTGGCTCTTTTATGACTCGTGGACTTCATCTCCCACTTGCTGCTCAGTTCTGGTAGGCTCTGACTAGCTTATAAAATTTATTTATTCATCATGTTTATCTGACCACCCATCTCACAGGAGTGTAACTCTGCCTGGCATACAACAGTTAATTAAAAGAAAATCCAATAAATATGTAAAAACTAACAAAAAACCTATTTAAAAAGCACACAAACAGAGAGGATAAAGTTATCCATAGTAAGGGAGCTATTGCAAGATCTCCCCAATCCCTGCCCCCCCCCAGGCTTAAAGGCATAGCCAGATCTTGAACGACTTGCGAAATGTTATAAAAGATGAAGCTAACCTCATGTCTTGGAGTAGAAATTCAGGCACCATGGAAGAGAAGACCAGCATCTTTGGACTTGCCAAGTGTAATTGTCCTGATAATCAAATGTTATACTATATTTGAAGAGCAAAGGAAGTTTTATTAAAGTGAAAATATAAACCAAGACCCCCCACTCCCAACGGCTCTTTAGTCACAGCATTTTTTGCAAGTGTCTATGGAGGTGCTTTTTCAGGAGGCAACTGGACTTTCATTGAAGACGTTTTGCTTCTCATACAAGAAGCTTCTTCAGCTCTGACTGGATGGTGAGGAATGGAAGGATTTATATGGAAGGGGAATGGAAGGGTTCCCCCACCATCCTAAAGAAGCTTCTTGGATGAGAAGCAAAACGCCTTCAACCCGTCCAAGACCGAGTGGCTATGGCTTCCAGCGCCTCGGCATAGTCAGCTGATTCCATCGCTGACTATAGGGGGCGAAACTTTGGCCCCCTCAGATCGGGTCCGCAACTTGGGTGTTCTCCTGGATTCACGGTTGACATTGGACGACCAGTTGTCGGCCGTGACCAGGGGAGCGTTTTATCAGGTTCGCCTGAT